ATCTGCAAATATTCATTTGTTAACATTGATCTGGAACGAGATTTACAAATGCAGTTTGTTCAATGAAGCCTGATTCTGTTGCACACGTAGTTTTCCACCACACCTTGTGGTTGTGGCACATCTTGGAAGATTCCACTTCAGGTTGTATTAATTTTTTCTCAACTTTGAAAATATTTTTGTGGGCACCTGAGTGGCTGGCTCAGTCAGTTAAGCATCTGCCTTCGGCTCAGGTCATGATCCTGGGAGTCCTGGGATCAGGCTTCCTGCTCAGCGGGGGTGGGGGTGGGGTGGGGTGGTGGTGTGTCTGCTCCCTCTGCCCCTCATCCGGCTCATGCTCTCTTTCTTGCTCTCTCAAATAAGTAAGATCTTTAACAAAAAATTTTTTTTTGTTAATAGTTGCTCCACACTGACTACTCATAGAGTCTAATTCTTTAGTCATTTCTAGGGTGACAAACCATTCCAATTAGCCTGGGACCAGGGAGGTTCTCGCCACATGGGACCTCCAGCATTAAACCAGAAATGTTCTGGACAAACTGGGATGAATTGGTCACTCTAGCACTTCAAATTTGGCATTGACTTCTTGAATAATCAACTGAGCAGTTATCAGTAGCATCGGTTAAGTCTTCAGGAGCTAAGGAAAATTTTATTCAAAATCATCTGCCTTGTTTTTGACTACACGATGTTGCTCCTTTAACTCTTCACGCAACTATTCTCACTGAAAGGCCAATAATATGAATGTATTTAAGTAAACTCTATGTTCAATGTGGGGCTTGGACTTACAACGCCAAGATCAAGAGTCGCATGTTCCATGGACTAAGCCAGCGAGGTGCCCCAAAAGGCCAATAGTTTTAAAAAGCTTATTTTGGGGATGCCTGAGTGGCTCAGCAGTTGAGCATCTGCCTTTGGCTCAGGGCATGATCCTGGTCTGGGGATCGAGTCCTGTGTCAGGCTCACTGCAAGGAGACTGCTTCTCCTCTGCCTGTGTCTCTGCTTCTGAGGGTCTCATGAATAAATAAAATCTTAAAAAAATAAATAAAAAGCTTATTTTAGGGTGCCTGGGTGGCTCAGTTGGTTGAGTATCTGACTCTAGATTTTGGCTCAGGCCATGATCTCAGGGTTGTGAGATTGAGCCTGTCGAGTTCCATGCTGAGTGTGGATCCTGCTTAAGATCATCTCTCGCCCTCTACCTCTGCTACCCCCACATCTTGCTCACACACTCTAAAAATAAAAAGTCTATTTTATCTGGACACATTTCCTCAGCTGCTGCAAACAGAATTTAATTACCTCATCACTGGTAAAGGGCTTTCCTTGCTTGGGTAACAAATAAGTCACTTGGGAACTTTAGTTATTATCTCATTCTTATTTTTATTTTATTTTATTTTTTTTAAATTTATGATAGAGAGAGAGAGAGAGAGAAAGAGAGAGACAGAGACACAGGCAGAGGGAGAAGCAGGCTCCAGGCACCGGGAGCCCGACGTGGGATTCGATCCTGGGTCTCCAGGATCGCGCCCTGGGCCAAAGGCAGGCGCTAAACTGCTGCGCCACCCAGGGATCCCTCATTCTTATTTTTTTGGACAAGAAATTACATCCTGAGATACTCCATCCAAAATATTCTGACACTTACGGCTATTGCTGTCCTGTGAGCTGAGGATGTTATAATGAATGCTTAATCTGCTAATGTCAACACACACTATATTCTTTAAAATAGTTTATTTAAAAATCTGATGTGTCAACTCAGTGTTTTCCACCAACTCAGGGAGCAGAGACCTTCACAGGCTTCACAATCTTCTGTTGAGGTGCTGCCTTCGTAGGAGCCTCCGCAGCACCACCACCATCTTTTTAGATGCCTGCTTAGCTTCTTTTTGCTTCCTTGGCAGTCCTGATGGCTGCTTCTCCATGAGCCTTCCTAACTTCAGATTTCGGATTCCTCCTGTGATGGTCCTCTGGAATTTGCACAGCGGTTCTTTTCTTTTGAATTTCTTCAGACTGTCCTTTTTTGTGTTTTCTTCTGTAGAGGGCAGCCTAGTTTATCTGCTGATTCCTCTTGGAAAGCAATACCAACTCATATTTTGCATTAAGAACTCGGAAAGCCTCCCCCTTGGTCCTGGCACAGTGCCTCCCACATCCGGGGTGTATCTTGTACTCACTAAAACTGCATAGCTTGACTTTTGTGGCTGCGGCAGCTGGGAAGAAGGAAAGATGTAGAGAAAAGGGCACAGCTGGGCATCACTGCAAAACACAGTGCTGTGCTAATTTGATAACAATATAATCTGGGGGATTCCTGGGTGGCTCAGTGGTTTAGCGCCTGCCTTCGGCCCAGGACATGACCCTGGAGACCCAGGATCAAGTCCTGCATCGGGCTCCCTGCATGGAGCCTGCTTCTCCCTCTGCCTGTGTCTTTGCCTCTCTGTGTCTCTCATGAATAAATAAATCTTTAAAAAAAACCCCACCATAATCTGCACTCCACTGTGATCCTCAGTATGACATTTGAAGTCCACTTTTGGATATGAACTGCTAATAAAAATACATAAAATTTGTGGCACCCCCAAAACATAGCACTCAAAGTACTTTGATCTGAGACTGCATCACTACAATTCGTGGTGCAGTCCTGGGCAGTGCTAAATAGAGGACCACATAGGGTCTCTTTTGTGCTGAACTCCTGTAGCACAAAACCGGCCATATACAACATATAAATGTGACTGTGTTCCAATAAACCTTTATTTAGGAACACTAAGCTTTGCATTTCATGTAATTTTCATTTGCTCTGAACTTTGATTTTTTTCCCTTGAAAACATAAAATCACAACAGGCAGGGCCAGAGGTGGTCCACAGAACGGCCCATGACATAGTTCGGTTTGGGCTGCAGGATTATTTCTGCCTACTAAAGTGAAAAAAAAATTATGTATGTACAATATACACACACTTCTGGACTAAAGGATAGTAGCCACCTGCATCACAGTCACAGCATGGGGACAGCTTCCCTGAGTCGGTTCTGGAACAAGAGCCTTTGTGGCAGGACACTGATAATTTGTAATTCCAATCAGCATAGTCAATCTGAATTTCCAGTTCATGCCATTCATCAGCCAGGGTTCGTTTCCAGTCACAGTGACCAGTTGCCTTGGACATGGTTGCACTATATTCCAAATACTCCTGGCAACAGAAAAATGAGGTTTTTCATTTCACACTGGTTTGCTCACTTGCCGCTCTATCTATGGCAGATATACAGCCTGAAATGATCTGATTCTAGTTGAGCCTTCTCTGTGGATCAATTCCTTTTTTCCTTTAGCTCTTTGTTGATTATATACAATAGCAACACATACTTTTGCTTCCATATACTCAAATGCTTATCTTCTCATTTAAAAAAAAATCAATTTTTACAGTCATATAGATTATACTTTTGAATTGTACTTTTTATTATTTTTTAAAGATTTTACTCTTGAGAGACATACGAAGAGAGGGAGAGAGACACACACAGGCAGAGGGAGAAGCAGGTGCCCAGCAGGGAGCCTGATGTGGGACGCGATCCTGGGACCAAGATCACACTCTGAGCCAGAGGCATGCCCAACTGATGAGCCACCTAGGCATCCCTGTACCCTCTTTTTACCTTATTTGCTCCATATTACAAAATTCTATATTTTACTGGCAGAGACTTTCCACCCAATTCATCTGATTTTCTCACTAGAAAATCTGAAAATCAAAAATCACACCACCTTGATGAGTTTTCTTAAAGATCCTAATCTGGTCCATAGGAGATTCTCTTTATAAAAATCACAGAATTTCAGCTCTACTTCTTACAAATAACCATGGCCATGACATGCTAAAGATGGAATCAGCCTCCCTCCCAACTCCAAGTTTTTTTTTTTAAATATTTTATTTATTCATAGAGACAGAGAGAGAGAGAGAGGGGCAGAGACACAGGCAGAGGGAGAAGCAGGGATCATAGAGAGAGCCTGACGTGGGACTCGATCCAGGGTCTCCAGGATCACGGCCTGGGCTGCAGGTGGCGCCAAACCGCTGCGCCACAGGGGCTGCCCCCAACTCCAAGTTTAATTTACACATTAAGTGATGACAAATGTACCATGCCTAAGTGAGGTGGATGGGTAGCTGTCTGGGAAGAGGGAAATATTCATCTTGCTATATAAACATGTGAGTGTGAGCACATGTGCCTTTGGGGAGATAAATGTGAAGCTGCAATGACACGCTTCCCTGGTGCTTTACCAGAAGGGGAAACCAGAGGGACCTCCAGATCCACAATGTTGAAAAATGGTTTAAAAAGGGGAAGTTGTTCATTCAACAAATACATACTGGACATATTCTATGTCAGGTATCATTCTAGAGGTAAAATCTGCTCTTCATATATACTTGAAATAAGTTCTCATTTGCATTTTATATCAGAGCACCTAGCCTAGTACCTAATTATTAAAGATTTAACAAATACCTGAAAGAAAAAAATGTTTAGTGGCAATGGGCATTTTAAATAAATCTAGATTAGCTAAACAGAAACACATTTTAAGGATATTTAAAATACTTGAGAAAGCAAAAACCTATTTACTCCAAGACACTGAAGTCCTTAAAATGGAGTATTACTGAGTCATAAAAAAGAACAAAATCTTTTGCCATTTGCAACATGGATGGAACTAGAGTTATTATGCTAAGCAAAGTCAGTCAGAGAAAGACAAATATCACACAATTTCACTAATATGTGGAATTTAAGAAACAAAAGAGCAAAAAGAAAAAAAAAAAACGGGGGCAAATCAAGAAATAGACTCAACAATAGGGAATCAACCAATGATTATTGGAGGGGAAGGGAGGGGTTGGAGGGATGGGAGAGAGAGGTGAGAAGGATTAAGCAGTGCACTTGCTGTGATGAACACCCAGGTAATGTACAGAAGTGCTGAATCACTATATTGTACACCTGAAACTATATATAACACTGTATGTGAACTACACTGGAATTTAAAACTTAAAAAACAAAAAGATACTCGACTTCCACCTGCATACAAATTGTAGAAAAAGTTTATTTTCTGGTCACTGATTCTTCAAATACAATTCCATATCTATGATACAGACACAAAAATATCGTTATTAAATCTTGCTATCTCACCAAAAATAAACATGTGGAAAAAGTGATCACATACATATACTTGAACTGCCCTCTCACTCTCCAGGTATTAGAACTTCAATTCCAACCATACAACACTGAACTGCCCTTATGGTTTAAAGGTGCACGCCTAACAGAGAACCATGTGGTCAAACAAGATTTTATTTTATTTGATGATAACAACAAAAACTGCAGTAAATGGTGACTTTTCTATCCAGGCAAGTTAACTAAAGATAGCTGAAATCTGCAAAGGAATCTAGAGACCAGGACAAAGAGGCAGCATGAGCTCAGCTACTGTAAACAATGCATCTGTGCATTTCAGCAACGGCAGGTAAGCCAGCTACTGACTGCTTTCCATACGGACTTGAACTGACAGTTTTTCCTCCAAGAATCTTGTCAATGGTTGCATTCCACTGCTAGTTAAATACAAAGAATCAGCCCTCACAATAAAATCACATTTTCCAGAAGAAATATACATTTAGAATCACTGATTGCTTTTTCTTCGTCTTTTTTTCCTTGAACGTGTAGGTGTTTGAGTCTCTTGTGTTTCTTCTTTTACACCAGGTACGGGCTGTTTAAAAACTATTTCATTATCTTCATCATCATCATTTATTTTAGCTGCTTCAGATTTTCGTTTCTCCAAAAATGCTGGTGTACAAACTGGTGTGGAGCCCTGGATTCAACGAGTAACAAGTGATAATACAGAAACATAGGAAGGTATTAGGAATGAGTTTAACCTTCCCACCCCCTTATCACCTGCCCTGTACTTTTACAATTTGTCCTGTGTTTTTTAGGCTTGTTTATTCCTTTCAGTGATACAGCTGCACATAAGAGAGGTTTGGCGCTTATCAAACTTAGTATGGAAGTTTACAGTGAACTAGAATATAACATGCCCCATTATAGGGTATTAGGTTAAAAACTGTCTTACATATTTATAAAGACAGTGGCCTCATTTCCCCCTACTGACATAGTTACTTTGCTAAAATTAGTTACAATGCAATAAATTCACAATAACTTTTGCTAACCTCACTATATTTGCTAAGTCACCTGTAAGGACTTACCAAAACAAACACAAGGTTAAACCTGAAATTTTAATAAAGTGAAAGCAGCACAAACTTGCTTTTCCTTTTCTTTTTTTTTAATACAGGTACCTGGGTGGCGCTCACTTAGTTAAGTCTCTGCCTTTAGTTCAGGTCATTACCCTGGGGCTCTGTGATGGAACCCCAAGTGGTGGCGGGGGTGGGGTGCGTGCTGCCCAATGTTTGTGTTCACTTTCCCTGTCTCTCTCTCCTATCTGTGTCTCCCTCGTTCTTTTTTTTTTAAAAGAGGTGCATCCTTAAGTATCTAGGGGTGAAAAGTTAGCACAAGACCGCAGGAGTGGGTCTCAGGTTAGGAGTGACAATCAAATCCACAACATACCATGGCTCACTCAGCACCTCATGTTTTTATTTTTTTAAATGAACTCTTTAAAAAAAGATTGATTGATTGATTGATTTATTCATACATACATACATAGAGACAGAGACACAGGCAGGGGGAGAAGCAGGCATCATACAGAGAGCCTGACGTGGGACTCGATCCAGGGACTCCAGGATCACGCCCTGGGCTGCAGGCGGCGCTAAACCGCTGCGCCACCAGGGCTGCCCTATGTCTCCCTCTTTTAAGCAAATAAAATATTAGAAGAATTATTTACTAATTTATTTTAAAAGTAATCTCTAGGGACGCCTGGGTGGCTCTGCAATTGAGCATCTGCCTTTGGCTTGGGTCGTGATCCCGCAGTCCTGGGATCGAGTCCTGCATTGGGCTTCTTGCATGAAGCCTGCTTCTCCCTCTGCCTGTGTCTCTGCCTCTATGTCTCATGAATAAATAAATAAAATCTAAAAAAAAAAAAAAAAAAAAAAAAAAAAAAAAAAAAGGAATCTGTATACCCAACATGGGGCCTGAACTCATGACCCTGAGATTAAGAGTCCCACAGTCTACCAACTGAGCCAGCCAGGTGCCCCAGCTTTTCCTCTTTCAAATTATTTCTGTAATACCTCATTTCCTAGCATACTGTAGACTGTTTTACCTGGCTATCCACGGTCTTCTCAGGAGTGGTAGTAGTACGTGAACTCTTTTTCTTCTTCTTCTTTTTCAATAAGACCTTCAATAAATTTTAAGAGAGAAACTTCATCAATCTGCCTATTTATCAGCAATAAATATATCTTGAATCTATTTCCCCATTTATCTTTCCCCAATATCTGGCATGTAGGGGATGCCTGGGTGGCTCAGCAGTTGGGCGTCTGCCTTTGGTCCAGGATGTGATCCTAGAGTCCCAGGATTGGGTCCCATGTCGGGCTCCTTGCATGGAGCCTGTTTCTTTCTCTGCCTGTGTCTCTGCCCCTCTCTCTCAGTCTCTCTCATGAATAAACGAAACCTTAAAAAAACAAAACAAAACAAAACAAAACAAAAAAAACCCTACACCTGCATCCCAATGTTTATAGCAACAACATCCACAATAGCCAAACTGTGGAAGGAGCCTCGGTGTCCATCGGAAAGATGAATGGATAAAGAATGGTTTATATATACAATGGAATATTAGTCATTAGAAACGATGAATACCCATCGTTTGCTTCAATGTGGATGGAACTGGAGGGTATTATGCTGAGTGAAGTAAGTCAATCGGAGAAGGACAAACATTATACGGTTTCATTCATATGGGTAATATAAAAAGTAGTGAAAGGGATTAAAGGGGAAAGGAGAGAAAATAAGTGGGAAAAATCAGAGAGAGTGACAAAACATGAGAGACTCCTAACTCTGGGAAATGAACAAGGAGTAGTGGAAGGGGAGGGGGGAGGGGGGATGGGGTGACTGGGTGATGGGCACTGAGAGGGGCACTTGACAGGATGAGCACTGAGTGATATGCTTTATGTTGGTAAATCGAACTCTAATAAAAAAATCTACAAAAATAAATCTGGTATGTAGTATGATAATTAAAATTTTACCTGGCTATCTGTAGGCTTCTGAAGACCAGTGTTTGAAGCATTTTCCTTTTTATGTATAATCTAAACAAAGAAATGAACTGGTAGTCTCACATATTTGTATTTTTAAATTACCATTAGATCCTTACACGTTATCAGTAAATCTTCTCCAAATAACACAGCATTTTAACTTAAAAAGCAAAACCATAACCTTAAGGGCAAAACTGTAAGAGGGACCTAACTAAGGAATGGGCTCGGGCTATGAAGGCTGAATGGGGCCCAAACCTTGGGCTGCCCAAATTCAGAATTAGATAATGAAGCAGGGCTGCTTTCACACAAAGCAGCAAATGGGTAAGCAGAGAGGCATTTCTGGCATGCCTGTTTTCCAGCTTCATTGTCCCAGTTCCCACGTGGTTCCCATGGGTCCCTGGAACAGTGACACATGCTCTTTTCACACGTACAGTATGTTTGGGATTTGAGCAAAAAACCAACTACTAGGAACTGGGCCCAGGGAGAGTAGCTAAATTTCCAGTTGCTGGATAAGGTTAAAAGATCTAATAAACTCAGATATAGATGCCATCTCTCACCAACTAAGTAGTTTTTTGGAAATAAGCTGAGAGGGCCTATAGAAGACTCAAAATCAATCTCAAGACTTAGTCAAGGGAAAAAAAAAAGGTCTTCACCTATATCGGCCACACCTTAATGACCTATACTCTTGGTTTGCAGTAAAAACCACACAGCTCTCCTCCACTAATGACGAGGAGGAAAGACTCCACAAGGTCTCCTTATTCAACAAGCAAGGAACTAAGAACTGGATAAAACTCTGTGCTAACTCATTTTCATGCAAGTCGTCTTGTTATATATTTCAAATCATGAGAATTCTGCAAAGGAGCTAACCCCTTTCAATAGTTTCCTTTTCTGCATAATGGAGTTAACAGGATCTTGTTCTAACAAATTTTTATTTATTCATTTGAAAGAGCTTGAGTAGGGAGAGGGGAGGAGAGGAAGAGTGAAGCAGACTCCCTACTGGGCAGGGAGTTTGCTTCTCCATCTCCCTCCTGCCCTCCCAACTTGTGCTCTCTCAAATAAATAAGATCTTTAGGGAAAAAAAAGAACCCACAATGCAATGTTTCAAAATTTAGGCAAAGCCTAGCATGGGATAAACACCGGGCTAGACAATTTATGCATAAAACCATAAATATGTTACAACTAATGAGGTACAAAACCCACCCCCAAGAAAAAAAATACAAAAACATTTCGTCAAGGAATATTTACCAGCGAAGGAAAATCATAATCAATTCCCTTTTTAGCTAATTTCTTCCTGAGTAATTTTTCCTTCTTTTTAAAACGTTCCTCCATCTGTAGCTTTTGAAGAAGTGTCCGATTTTGATTATACCGTTTCACTGCTGGATATGATGGCTTTTTAAATGGAATATACCACTCTCTAAAAAGTTCTCCATGTACTTTTTCAGGCGGTATAAAATGACCTATATTTCAAAGAAAGACAGAAAGTTTTCAACCAACTGGAAGGAAGATTTTAAGGTTTTCACCACTGTCATTCCCCTCATATCATAATCAAGAGGATGTGTCTCCCATTTACAGGGAAAAGACTGAAACAACAAAGTGGGAATCTAAAAGAAAAGCTTATAGCCAACAATTATTATTAAGTACTTATTTATTAAATGCCAAAAACTTCCAGGAGCTAGAAACAGGTTAGCGAACAAGATAAGTCCTATAAAAGAATGTCTTGGTGGCGGCAAGTCTCTGGGATTCCTGAAGCTACCAGGATCTCAGGCTGTGTGACCTGCTGTAGCAGAAGGAATTACTTCCCAGCTCATCTCCTCTGCATACCTGTCCAGAACTAAGCCAGCTTAATGCTTATCTCCAGCTCTCTTCTTAGGGGCACTTTTAAGCTATGGAAGCACACTGAGACCATATGCAAGGCAGGCCAAAACCCTTGGCATCAATCCTCAAACAATGACGGATGGGGAGTTGGTAGGTAAATTCCCTATTTCCCTTGCCTGTCAATTCGGAATAATTCTATCTCCCGTGTTACTTGGCAGGATGGAGCCCAGCTGCCTAAGAAGTAATGTGCTTGCTAATCCACCCTCAATGCTTCTGTCTCACTTCTCTACTCCCTATCAGTATTTTCCTGGGCTCACCTCAAAAATATGTCACCTCTGTTAAAAAAAAAAAAAAAAAAAAGACAATGTGGCTAACCTCCTATCAGAGTTCAAGATCTTTTCTGTGGTTTTTCAAAGTCAGATACAGCACAGCACCGATCCTACCCATGTGGACCCTTGACACATTTTAGGTCACCTATCTGGTCTATTTCCTCTTGGGAAGAGCCATGCTTTCTATGTGTGAAATGAACCCATGACCTCAATGAGGCTACTGGGATTCTCTGTCACAGCAACAGGAACCAAGAGAGAGATGATACTTGGGCAGCTCGTCAGGTACATGAACTGACGTGTGTGGCTTGGGCACGTGGTATGGTCAAACACTCCACAAATGGCACAGAGAAGGCAAACTTAACTGCCTCCAGAGGCACCCAACTGCAGATAGGGATGCTTTGGGAATGCAAAGTGAGCAGCTCCACTTTCTGCAGGATAGACTAATTTGGTGGTATTTCTCTACTCCTTATGGCTTCGCCTGTGGAAGAGCTGCAGCCAATGTCATTTAGATGGATTCTCAAATGTGATATCTTGCCTTTAATGTTATCCTTTTTTTTAAAAAAAGATTTTATTTACTTATTTGAGAGAGAGATGAGAGTGTGTGCACGCACACATGGGAGTATGAACGGGGGTGAGGAATATAGACAGAAGCAGACTCCCCACTGAGCGGGGAGCCAGATGTGGGGCTTGATCTCAGGACCCTGGGATCATGACCTGAGCTAAAGGCAGATGCTTAACTGACTGAGCCACCCAGGTGCCCCATATCTTTATAATGTTATCTTATCTAGAACCTATTAATGGCTTCCCACTACCCTCAGGATATATTCTAAACTCCCAGATTTTTAAGGCCTTTAATAACCTGACCTCTTGCTATTCTCCTCACATTCCTTCACAACCAAGTAAGTTACTGTTAGTTACCTCCCGCTATGCATATGCTATCTCATCAAGCCAGGGATGGTAATTCCCTTCCCCTGGCTCATTCCTATCTCATCTTCAGATTTCAACTTAAATGATGCTTCTTTAAGGAAGCCTTCCATATCCCATTAGTGATGAGTTGGCTGCTCTTCCAATGTAGTACCTTGTCCCAATTCCATCTTAGAATAAAAACAGCTCTTACTCTAGAAGATTTTAAAATTCCAACTAGAATCTGTCTAGAAAATACACTTGTATCTTTGCACTTTAAGAGAATCATCCCAAAATGCACTTGTATCTTTGCACTTTAAGAGAATCATCCCAGAGATGAAGTGGGACAGCCAAGCAGGTAAGCAATCTGTCATTCATAGCACAGCCATGCACCAGCAGCAGGCGTCCACTCAGTCCCACGGTAAGAGAAGAGCACTTACACTGTAAAAGTCTTTCACCAAAAAGGTAGTTGTTCATTGTGTCAGCAACTATCTTGGCAACATCTTCAGATGCGAACTCCACAAAGGCATAGCCTTTACTATTTCCAGTCTGCAATGGAAAACCCACCACAAACAGTTGATTAAATTCTAACAGATCATCAAAGTTCTAAAATGCCATTAATTTAGCCCTATTGTCTATTAACATTACACCTTTAATTCTAACTTTAATGCACAGTGCAGGGACTGTTAACAGGAAGAGGTAAGATCCGGCATCCATGGCCGGCTGAATCAGAAAAGCATACAACTCTTGATCTCAGGGTTGTGAGTCTGAGCCCCACACCGGGTGTAGAGATTACGTAAAAATAAAATATATTTGAAAATAAAATACATTTAAAAAAAAGAAAGAAAAACAAAAGGATCCAAAATGTCTGAACATGCTGTTGAAGTATCCCTGGAATTTTGATCACATGATTAATACATTACTACTGCAGCTGGAATTTACTAAACAAAGGAAATCTGGTAGGGCCCACAGTCCTTTATACATTACCAATTTCATTGAAAGCCACCTTATTCATGTATTAACAATGCCCAGCAGATAGTGCAATGCTTTGCAAAGAATGCAGGTAGTCCTAGTCTCACTTTATACATAAGAACTGGGAAGAAACTAACTCTCCTCAGTGTTGCCTAGCTAATCAATAAAATGACGTGTTCATTCTCATGCTAATGAATGATCTTCGTAATTTTTTATAAGATTTTATTTATTTGACACAGAGAGGGAGAGTGCACGATCAGGGGGAGTGGAACGGAGCCTGACCAGGGGCTCGATCCCAGGACCGCAGGATGTGACCCGAGCTGAAGGCAGACGTTCAACCACCGAGCCACCCAGGTGCCCATCATCTTCATAACTGATGGTAAAGGGACACTGCCAACATCTTCTGAAACACACATTCTAGATTCCTGCCCTCAGCACATTATAACGTGGATTTTCTCACCTATTTTTTTTAATTTTTTTTGTTTTATTTATTTATGATAGGCACACAGTGAGAGAGAGAGAGGCAGAGACATAGGCAGAGGGAGAAGCAGGCTCCATACACTGGGAGCCCGACGTGGGATTTGATCCCGGGTCTCCAGGATCGCGCCCTGGGCCAAAGGCAGGCGCTAAACCGCTGCGCCACCCAGGGATCCCTCACCTATTTTAATAATAATTAGCATGGGTTCTAGAGTCCAAAAGCCCAGGTTTGGATCCCAGCTGTGACAATTAGGTAAGTACTGTTAAGCCTCAGTTTTTTCATTCTATTCAATGGGGACAAAAGAACCACTCTCACAGGCTTGCTATGAAGAAATAATTCAGGATCCCTGGATGGCTCAGCAGTTTAGTGCCTGCCTTCAGCCCAGGGTGTGATCCTGGAGACCAGGGATCGAGTCCCACATCAGGCTCCCTGCATGGAGCCTGCTTCTCTCTCTGCCTGTGTCTCTGCCTGTCTGTGTAAATAATTCATAAGCACTCCACACAATGTCAAGTACACAAATGCTCATGTAGGTAACAAAATATGCCATCTGCAAATATGCTATGTTGGCATAAGGATAATTTTGAGCTGAAGGCAACTGGGTAGTAGTAGATAACAGAAAAGCTCTTTGCCCCCTGCCATTTGCCCAAAAGCAGGACATAAATTTACAGTGTCCCGGCCAGAGATCCTAGGATGGTAGTAGAACAACTCTCCTCCTTTACAGTTCCAATTATTAGTAACAAAAGCACTGCACAATTTTGTTTGTTTTTGTACTGCACAATTTTGCATTAAACATATCTTTGGATATGGATCAAAACTGGTGATGCAATTATGGAAATAGGAAAGCACTCAATGACCAGGAGGCACATTTCTAGCACTAGTGGTGCCATGAACTAGCACATTGTTTAGCTATCTGCAAAAAGAGGATTTTGGTAAAAATTTATATGTCCCCAAATCCTTTATAATTCCATCTTTTAATAGGGAGGGGAAAATGGTGGAGTTGAAGAGACAGGCTGTGAAATCCAATTACTGTATCACATGATATAAACCTTCTGAAAAGAGATGTGAAAATACGTATCAAGTGACTAAAACAAAGAAAACAAAACAAAACCCAAAAAAGCCAGGGGCTCCTGGCTGGCTCAGTTGATAGAGCAGGTGACTCTTGATCTCAGGGCTGTAAGCTTGAGCCCCATGTTGGATTTAGAGATTACAATAAATAATAAACAAAAAAGAAGAGCCAAACACTTTTACGTATTTTACCTAGTAATCCCAGAACGTTGAAGTATTGAGCAAACAGTCAAAATTGGGGTGAGTCAGGAAGGTGTCAACTTTATCATGCAACAACAATGCTGGAAATGGTAAATTTTAGTGCATCTCTTTAAGAAGCAAACTTCCTATAAGACAACTGACCTGAAATCTTCAAAAAAGCCAGTATCAAGAAAAGAAAGAACAAGCAAAAAAGGGCAAGAGGACTGTTCTAGATATGCTGGAGAGCTAGAACCAAATACAATACATGAACCTTAATTGGATTCCAGAATGGGTAGGGAAAAAAAATAGCTAAAGACATTTTGGGACTACTGGGGATGTATGCAGATGGGAGAAGTACATTATAGACTATTATATACTGTAATTATGGAGAAAAATGTCTTATTCTTAAATTTACAATGAAGTGTTAAAGTATTACAACTATCACTTTCTTCAAAAGCCTCAGCAAGGGCAGCCTGGGTGGCTCAGTAGTTTAGCACCGCCTTTGGTCCAGGGGAGACCTGAGATCGAGTCCCAGGCTGGGCTTGCTGCATGGAGCCTGCTTCTCCCTCTGCCTGTGTCTCTGGCCTCTCTCTCTCTGTCTCTCATGAATAAATAAATAAATAAATAAATAAATAAATAAATAAATAAATAAATAAATAAAACCTTAAAAAACAAAAAACAGAAGCCTCAGCAAAACAAAAAAATATATTCTTGAGGACATAACAGAGATGAAACTAGATGTTAACAGGTGAATCCAGGCAATAGGATGCTCATCACACTATTCTATCTGCCCTAAATATTTTCAAAACATTAAACTGGGGAAAACAATGACTATATTGCAATCTAGGAAAACATTCACAAAATATTTTTAAAATTTATTTTTAATTAAAAATTTTTAAAGATTTCGTTTATTCATTCATTAAAGACACACAGGGAGCCCGATGAGGACCTTCCCCAACTCCGGGATCACATCCCAAGCCGAAGGCAAATGCCCAATCACTGAGCCACCCAGGAATCCCTCATTACAAAATAATGTCCCAGAAAATGGAGAAAAAAATTTTCAGGAAAGACAGTAAGAAAGGGCAAAACACACAAACAGGCAATTCACCGAAGATCGCATTCTAATGGCCAACACACACATAATGTGATACTGAATGTCACAGGATAAGGTAGGTACAAAAACCACAATGATTCTATACTCAGTGGCTCTGAGAATCTTCTTAAAGCAGTAGTTTTCAAACCCAAAACGCAACCTTTTAGAGAGCAACAAAACTGGGACGCCTGGGTGGCTCAGCAGTTTAGTGCCTGCCTTAGGCGTGATCCTGGAGTCCTGGAATCGAGTCCCACATTGGGCTCACTGCATGGAGTCTGCTTCTCCCTCTGCCTATGTCTCTGCCTCTCTCTCTGTGTATCTCATGAAAAAATAAATAAAATCTTAAAAAGCATCAAAACCAATTTAGTAAGTCCGAAGAAGATGAAAAAAACCTGAAAAGTACTGCCTTAAATGATTTATTTCAATTATGCTTACACACATGTATGTGTGTGTAGGCTTGTACTATAAAACTTATTTCTTATAATAGGTCCAAAATCTGAAAAATACTGTTTTAGAAAAATATGCCTATACCAGCACAAAGAATGTTCCTAGCAGTTTCACCTGTAACAGAAAAATTGTAAAAAAAACCCAAACAAACCAAAACCCTAACATTCAATAAAAAGGGGAATACTTTAATATATTCAAGCAAAAGGGATCCCTGGGTGGCTCAGCAGTTTTGCCCTTGCCTTCGGCCCAGGGTGTAATCCTGGAGTCCCAGGATCAAGTCCCACATCAGGCTCCCTGCATGGAGCCTGCTACTCCCTCTGCCTGTGTCTCTCATGAATAAATAAATAAATAAATAAGATCTTAAGAAAAAAATATATATAGTCAAGCAAAAGAACACAGTGATGACAACAAATGTACTCGAATTATGCAAATCTCTCTCTCCCTATGTCTATCATAATAAAATAAATAAATCTTTAAAAAAAAGATAAAATACAGATTTAAATATACAATATATTTTCTTTTATGAACGTGTAGTAAAAAAAACAGAGTAACAAAAATCACTGGATTCATGAATTCTCTGGACATGGGGAAAAAGTGAAGAGGATTGGGGAAGGGTACAAAAGTGACTTCAATCCTACTTACGAAACAAGTAGGAAATCAAGTGGACATTTTATAAAAATGGTGGATTACCGAATAGCCATTAAATACTCTGGCGAACGTATGTTTAAAATACCTCACCCACATGTTATGCAACCATTATAAACAGGCAAATGGAAAAACATGGGGGAAGAACACAGACAAAATCTTATTTTGCTTAGGATAAGAGATACTAGGGAATTTTATTTATTTATTTTTATTTTATTTTTATTATTTTTTTATTAGGGCATTTTATTTTTTTTTTAAGATTTATCTTTATTTATGATAAACAGAGAGAGAGAGAGAGAGAGAGAGAGAGAGAGAGAAAGAGAGGCAGAGACCCAGGCAGAGGGAGAAGCAGGCTCCATGCAGGGAGCCCGACGTGGGACTCGATCCCCGGGACTCCAGGATCACGCCCTGGGCCGAAGGCGGCGCTAAACCGCTGCGCCACCCGGGCTGACCCCTACCTCCCTTTCTGAAATAAGCTGTGCTAAACGATAACAGATGACCTAAAAACTTACATACTTGTAAGAAATAAAACAATCTAATTCGATCTTACCCTTTTACTTCTGGACAGTCTGAATCTTGTAACAGTGCCAAACTGGGAGAAATAGGCCCGGATCTGGGTTTCATAAAGTGCTGGAGGTAAGTGGCCCACATAGATGACGCCGGGGGTCAGTTTTTCTTTCTGCTTTTGCTGAGGACACATAGACCAGACAAACGCAATTCTTAATAAATAATAATAATTTACAAGTCACCTTGCAACACGATGTGCAAAACCCCTACTTCTCAGTCCCAAAACAAAACCAAAGATCAAAAACCTGCCCTGTATTTCCACGTACACAGTATCAGAAGAGTCAGACGTCGGCGTCGGCGTCTGCGTCTGCGTCCCCGAGGCTGTGCGGGCTGTGCGGGCTGTGCCGCGGCGCCCGACTCCGCCAAGGCTCAGGCTCCAGGCCGCGTGGACCGACGCGCCGGGCCACTTGCCTACGGGCCGCCGCTGCTCACGCCCCCCCCACTGCCCACCCCCCTTCAGCGCCTGAGCCCCGGGCCCTACCGCCCGGAGTGGTGACCCCTCACTTTTCCAAGCGCGTATTTTATGCTTCAGGAAAAGGCAAGTGCGACTTGCCGCCACGGGCCCAGTCAGTCCGCGGACCTCGGCAAGCCCCGCCCTTCCGGGGTCGCGACCCCGCAGCCGGGCCGACGACCCTCCGGCGCTGCGGGTCACGCGCGGCCCCACAGCCCGCCCCCGGCAGCCGGGCCGCCTCCGGAACAGCCCCGCCCGCGCTCAGCTCTCGGGGGCACGGCCGCCTCCCCGCTCGCGGGGCCCGCGGCCGCCACCCGCCACCCGCAGCTCCGGCGCGAGCTGCCCCGGGGGCTGCTCACCTGCGCTGCACGCCGGCGAGCCTGCGTCACCTCCTTCCGAAACTTGGCCTCCTCCTGCGGGTTCAGCGACAGGAACGGCTTGGCAGGGCCGGCAAACGCCGCCATGGCGACCGGCCACTCAGCCGGAGGGCTCCACGCGGCGCCGCCGGAAACGGCCGCTCTCAGCGCCTCCAAGGCGGAAGCGGAGGCGGCGGGCATGCGCGGCAGGCGCAGGGGGCGGGGCCTGGGCCGGGGGCGGGGCCGGGGGCGGGGCCGGGGCGGCGCCCGGGAGGAGCCGGAGCGGGCTCGGGCGCCCCCTGATGGCCTGGCGCCGCGTGGCGACCCCCGCAGTCCTGCCACCTCTGAAAGGGCGGGCGCTAGCTGGCCGTGCCCACCTTGCGGCCAGTTTCAAGGAGATGCTTGAAGATATATTAAGCCCCAAACAACATCCGTGCCCTTGAGGTATTGCTGATCATTCTTTAATTATTTTCTTCCTTTCACGCAGGCACTTTTTAAAGCCCATGCTGTGTCCTCGTGTTGCTGTCGTTAGGAGGTGAGAGGCTGGGATGGAGGTGCGAGAGACTGCTTGGGGGGCCCGGTGCAGGGCGCGACAGCCCCGTGCGGGAGGGGCACGCTGGGGACCAACGAGGGCCTCCCGGAACGGGACGTATTTGAGTCGAGGCCTGAAGGCTGGAGGAGCCGCGTGTGAATACCTGGAAGCTCAGGGTGCAGGTAGGGGGGACCCCACGCGCAGTGTCCTTAGAGCTGCGCAGAGGGAACCAGCGGGGGGGGGCGGGGTTCCACGGCTCTTACCTGAAGGCTTAAAGCTTGGGTTCTGTTGTAAACACAAGGAGACGTGAGGGTTTTATTTCAAGATTTTATTTATTCAGGAGAGAGAGAGATGCAGAGGCACAGGCAGAGGGAGAAGCAGGCTCCATGCAGGGAGCCCGACGTGGGACTCGACCCCGGGTCTCCAGGATCGCGCCCTGGGCCGGAGGCAGACGCTTAACTGCTGAGCCACCCAGGGATCCCAGATGTGAGGGTTTTAAGCAAAGCCCTGGCTGTTAATGACATACATACATACATACATACATACATACATACATACATTTATTTATTTATTTATTTATTTATTTATTTCCCAGTCCCGCTCCCTGTTAATGACTTTTAAATACTGTGCCCAGCCTAACCCCCTGAACTCAAGAAAACTCCTAGGAACTTCTGCCTGTCAGTCTTACTTTTTGAAAATGAACTAAGGAATTGCTGTAGCAGGAAAAGAAACATTTGAGGATAATGCTTCCACAGATGAATCAGAAAGTGCCTCAGCCTCATAATAATGGTAAAATCTCACCCTGAATATTCTCGCCAAGGCCTAATAAAAGGGCCCTGCTTCTCCTTGTTCAGGCAATCAAGGCTTTGGAAGTCATTCCTTGCAATCTCCTTGTTTATACAAATAAAGTGGCCCTGGGAGGCAACCACCTCATACAGTTTCTGTCTATAGTTCACGGAGAATTGGCCTTGCTTTGGTTGGTAATAATAGTACTCCAGTTAGGGTGGAGGGTGAATTGCAGATGTTAGAATGAAAACTGCAGCGGCACTTGGGTGCTCAGTGGTTGAGCGTCTGCCTTTGGCTCAGGTCATGATCCTGGGGTCCTGGGATCGAGTCCCACATCGGGCTCCCCGCAGGGAGCCTGCTTCTCCCTCTGCCTGTGTCTCTGCCTCTCTCTGTATCTCTCATAAATAAATAAATGAAATCTTCAAAAGAGAAAACTGCAGGCCCCAAATTCAGTCACTTATGTTAAGGCCTCATGTCGGTAAACCAAGACTTAATACTTAACCGAAAAAAAAAAAATACTTAACCAAACTGCACTTCACCCTCCACCCCAATGTAAACTTTGACCTGCCAAACTGGAGGTATTTATGATCAATCCCTTCCATTCCCCTTAGGAAAGGTGACAGGACCTAAAACAACACATTCTTTGCTAATAATTCCCTTCCCCCTCCCTCTCTGCCTTTAAAAACCTTTCCTTTTCTGTAGCACTACGGAGGTCCTTTCCATTTGCTAAATGGGATGCTGCCCTATTCATGCATCGTTTAATAAAGCCAATTAGATCTTCATATTTACTTGGCTGTATTTTGTTTGTTTTTAAAGATTTTATTTTTAAGTAATCTACACTCAGCATGGGGCTTGAATTTACAACCCCAAGATTAAGAGTTGTGTGCTTTACCAACTGAGCCAGCCAGTTACCCCATATTTTGTTTTTTACACAGAGAAAGAAGGGACAGAAGGCTATCGCAGTAGTCCAAACAGAGCTGGTCTGGGGGATAGTGGTGGCAGGTATTTTTATCAGTGGGGGCTGAGTTTGGCTGGTGCCCAGGTGTACATGTGGGAATGGTGGACAGTAAGTCTGTAATGGTAGAAACACAGAATCTGAGGCCCTGTCTGGGCCCTACGAATCAGAATCTGCTTTGTAACAAAACCGCTGGCCAATCCACATGCTCTGTAGATCACACTTGGAGGAACAGGAGTAGAGATTTGGAGATTGATCACTGTACTGAGTTGCATTGTGTCCCCCGCAAGGTAAGTATAAGTCTTTTCCCCCATACATGTGATGGAAACAGAGCCCTTGCAGGTATAATCAGGTTAAGATGAGGTCATGCTGGATAAGATGGGCCCTGATCCAATACCTAGTGTCTCCATAAAAAGAGAGAAATTTGGACACACAAACACACACACACACACACACACACGCAGAAATGCCACTTGATGACAGAGGCAGAGGCTGGAGTGATGTGGTTGAAAGCTAAGGAAGACCAAGGCTTGCTGGCAACCACCAGAAGCTAGGAAGGGGTGAAAAAGGATTCTCTCTCATGGCCTTCACAGAGACAACGGCCCCATAAACATCTCGAATTTGATTTTGTAAAGTCTCTAGAACTGTGAGAAAATAGATTTCTGTTGTGTTAAACCACCCAGTTTGTGGCTGTTGTGTAATGGCAGCCCTAGGAAGCAAATACAGTTACTGTGGTTAGTAGTCGGAAATGGTTTCTGAGGAAATCACGGGGCTGTGGGGCCTGTCTTGGCAGGGGCTGGAGGAGCTCTTGGACCTCCACAGGGTAGCAGGCCCCCCAGACCATAGAAGTCAGAGACAGGGGCGCCTGGGTGGCTCTGTGGTTGAGCATCTGCCTTTGGCTCAGGTGATCCCGGGGACCCAGGAATGAGTCCTGCATTGGGCTTCCTGTAAAGAGCTTACTTCTCCCTCTGCCTGTGTCTCTGCCTCCCTCTGTGTCTCTCATGAATAAACAAGTAAAATCTTAAAAAGAGAGAGAGAGAGAGAGAGAGAGAGAGAGAGAGAGAGAGAGAGAGAGAGAGAAGGCAGAGACAGAGTCTCAGCCCCCAGATTCTCACTGTGGCCCAGCCCAGACCTGCTTTTGTTTCTTTCCCTTCTGAGAAAGTGTCAGCCACTCTCAGTTAACGGTTCCTGCTGATGTTCGCTCTGGCCCTGCTGGGTAACATCTCATTTTGCTGTGTCTCTGCTGCCCGGGGCCTAAGAGTCACCTGACTGGGTGGACCCAGGGGCCTGGGGGAAATCTTCAGATTCCTCATCCAAAACAGGAGTTTGGGTGACAGGATGGTTTTGGTCACTTGGGGGGAGTCTGCACCCTCTCGTGCAGCAGGGACACTAATGATCAGGCTAGCAGCTGGCCTGCCTCCTGCCCAGGTGGCAGGCTAGGGCTACACGTGTTTGTCCATCCGCCTTTCCTTCCTTTTTCTTCCCTCCCTCCTTTCCTTCTTTCTGTTTTTATCATGCAGAGCAGGGGAAGCCACTGACACTTTGGGTGGGGCGGTTCTTCCCTGAGCTGTACTGTCCTGTATATGCTGCTTTGGCACCTGACCCCCAGCACTCAAAGCTAGGGAGCACCCCTAGTCGTTTTAACAACCACAATGCCTCCAGGCACTTCCACACATCCCTGGGTGGGCTGCTGAGTGTGTGCTCACTGGGTGTTTTTTCCTTCCTTTGCCCCCACTGACCTCCCATGCCACCTTTCCATGGAATGGAATGGTGGTGTGTCATTCTCATGATGCCCGTCCCCACCTATGGGCTGGAGCCAGGAATGTGGAGAGCTGGTGGTTGGGGTACGAGGTGCAGCAGGTGGCAGAGCTGGGCAAGCAGCTGGGCGAGTCAGCTTGTGCTGAACATCCAGGGAGCTGAGCCTTGGGAGGAAAGGTTTTTTGTTTTTTTTTTTAAGATTTTATTTATTTATTTGACATGGGGCATGGGCAGGGAGAGGGAGAGAGAGAGAAGGGAGAAAGAGAAAGCACAAGCAAGGGAAGAGGGAGAGAGGCAAGCAGGTTCCCTGTTGAGCAGGGAGCCCAATGCAGGGCTCAATCCCAGGACCCTGAGATCATGACTTGAGCCGAAGGCAGATGCTTGACTAACTGAGCCACCCAGGTGCCCCTGGGAGGAGAGGGTTTGTGGGAGCTGCTGAGGGCTGCAGGAGAAGCGACAGGCGGGAACCAGGAGGGAGCACCAGCACGTGTCTGCTCAGCCCTTTTTGGGCTCTGTCCTATTTGTACCCACAGGATTTTATTTTATTTTATTTTATTTTATTTTATTTTATTTTATTTTATTTTTTTTTCCCACAGGATTTTATAAGAGATGACAGTGACAACATGGAGAGGCCAGTGTCATTGATATAATTTATTACTTATATTTCCAACGAGGACCGGGCACACTATGCCCTGCAGAGGATCACATGGGGAACCACCAGGTTTAGCCAGGAGGCAGATGCAGGACTGAGGGAAAGCCTGAGCCAGAGCCTTTATTGGAGTTTCTGCAGAAAGGTGAGGCAGAGCAGGGGAACTAGCTTAGGACTCCACAGCTTGAATAATCCTAATGTGCTTTAAGCTGGTACCTGGCCATGGCATGATTTAGGGTCAAGGAAATCTTGTCAGAGCCTGTGAGCCCAAGGGCCATCTCCTATTCTCCCTCTTTCTCTGATTCCCTAACCCTTTTCTCCTGCTCTTGGACTGCAGGCAACGACACCCAACCAATCTTCAGTTTCTACCCCTTTCTGTCCTTGCAGGAGTGTGTCACCCCTTGCGTAGTTTTCCATGCTATAGGAGGAGGTGTAATTTCACCCTGAAATTAGCCTAGAATGTTTGCAGTATTAATACTCACGTTGGGAAGAGTGC